GGAAAGAGAAAAGGCGTGAGAGGGAGATGGCGAGAGAGAGAATGCGAGAGAGAAAGAGAAGGCGAGAGAGAGAAAGAAGGCAGGGGAGAGATAAGGTGAGAGAGAGAGAAGGCGAGAGAGAGAGAAGAGAGAGAAGACGAGAAAGAGAGAAGGTGAGAGAGAGAATGCGAGTGAGAGAGAAGACGAGAGATAAGGCAAGATAAACAGAATAAGAAAGAGAAGATGAGAGAGAGGGAGAAGTGAGAGAGAGGGCAAGAGAGAGAAGACGAGAGAGGTCAAGAGAAGGAGAGAGAAGGCAAGAGAGACAAGGCGAGAGAGAGATAGAAGAGAGAATCAAGATAGACAAAAAGTGAAAGTGAGACAGAGAAGGCAAGAGACAGAGAAGGTGAGAGAGAGAAAGTGAGGGAGAGAATGTGAAAGAGAGAAAACGCATGAGAAAGAAGGCGAGAAAGAGAAGGTGAGAGAGATAAGGCAAGTGAGACATAAGACGATAGAGAGAGAAGGCAAGAGAGAGGGGTGGAAGGCGAGAGAAGGAGATAAAGGAGATAGAAGGAGATAAAGGGAGAAAAGATGAGAGAGAGAAGGTGAGTGAAAGAGCGAAGGTGAGAGACAGAGAAGGTGAGGAAGAGAGAAGGTGAGAGAGAGGAGGTGAGAGAAAGAGAAGGCGAGAGAGAGAGATAGAAGGCCGGTGAGAGATAAGGGGAGAGAGAGAGAGAAAAGGCGAAAGAGAGACGGCAAGAGAGAGAGTGAAAGAAAGCAAGAGAGAATGGGAGAGACAGTGAGAGATAAGGCAAGAGAGACAAGATGAGAAAGAGAAGGCGAGAGAGACAGAGCAGGTGAAATAGAGAGAGAAGCGGGAGAGAGAAGGTTAGAAAGGGAGAAGGCAAGAGAGAGAAAGAGAAGGTGAGAGAGAGAGAGGGTGAGAGAGAGGTATGGAGAGAGAAGAAGATAGAAGGCGAGAGAGAAGGCGAGAGAGAAGACGAAAGAGACAGAAGGTGACAGAAGACGAGAGACAAGGTGAGAGAGAAGAAAGAATCAAGAGAGAGACAAAAAGAGAAGGCGAGAGAGACGAGGTGAGAGAGAGGGAAAGTGAGAGAGAGAAGGAGAAAGGTAGAGAGAGAAGGCGTGAGAGAGAGAAGGCGAGAGAGAGAGAAGGTGAGAGAGAGAAGGCAGGTGAGAAATAAGGAGCGAGAGAGAGAAGGCAAGAGAGAGAGAAGGCGAGAAAGAAGGTGAGAGAGAGCCAGTGAAAGAGAAAGAGAGAAGGTGAGAGAGGGAGAAGGCAAGAGAGAGAAGGCGAGAGAGGGAGAGACAGAAGGCGTGAGAGAGATGGTGAGAGAGCGAGAGAAGGCAGGAGAGAGAGAAGGCAGGTGAGAGATAAGGCAAGAGCGAAGGCAAGAGAGAGGGAAGGTGAATGAGAGATGACAAGAGAGAGAGAGAAGGGGGAAAGAGAGGAGGTGAGAGAGAGAAAGGGAGAGAGGTATGGAGAGAGAAAAAGAGAGAAGGTGAGAGAAAGAAGGCAAGAGAGAAGGTGAGAGAGAGAGAAGGTGAGAGAGAGAGAAGGCAGGAGAGAAGGCAAGAGAAAGAAAGAGAGAAGGCAGGAAAGAATAAGTGAGAGGGAAAGACAGAAGGCTAGGGAGTGAGAAGGTGAGAGAGTGATAGAGAACATGAAAGAGAGGGCCAGAGAGCAGGAGAGAAGGCGAGAGAGAGAAGACAAGACAGGCGAGAGGGAGAAGGTGAGAGAGAGGGGGGCAACAGAGAGAAGGCGAGACAAGGAGAGATGGTGAGAGAGAGAGAGAAGTCGAGAGAGAAGGAGAGAGAGAGAGAAAGTGAGAGAGAAGGTGAAGGAGAGTGAGAGAGAAGGCAATAGAGAGAGAATATGAGAAAGAGACGGCAAGAGAGAGGGCAGGTGAAAGAGAGAGACGGTGAGGGAGAGAGCAGGCGAGAGAGACAGAACGCGTGAGAGTGAAGGCAAGAGAGAGAGAGAAGGTGAGAGAGCAGGCAAGAGAGAGAAGGAAGGTGAGAGAGAGATGGAGAGAAACAGAAGGCGAGAGAAAAGACAGAGAAAGACATGGAGGCAGAAACAGATGGAAGGCAAGAGAGAAGTTGAGAGAGAGAAGGCGAATGAAAGAGAATGTGAGAGAGGTATGGAGAGGGAAACAGAAAGAAGGCGAGAGGGAAGAAGAGAGAGAGAGAGAGAGAGGCATCATGCGAGAGAGCCAGAATGCCAGAAAGAGAAAGGTGGTGAGAGAGAGAGAAGGTGAGAGAGAGAGAGAGAAGCCAAGAGACAGAAGGTGAGAGAGGAGGTGAAAGTGAGAAGGCAGAAGAGGGAACAAAGGCGAGAGATAGAAGGCGAGAGAGAGAAAGCAAGAGGGAGAGAGAGAAGGTGAGAGAGGGAAGGTGAGAGAGAAAGGTGGTGAGAGAGATTGAAGGAAAGAGAAATAGAGAGAAGTTTTCAGAGAGAGAGAGATGGCGAGAGGGTGAAGGCGAGAGAGAGAGAAGGCAAGGGAGAGAGAAGGGGCAAGAGAGAGAGATAGCAAGAGAGAGGGATAGTGAGAAGCCCAGAGAGAAGGCAAGACAGAGAGAGAAGGCTTGAGAGTCAGAGAAGGCAAAGGAGAGAGAGAAGTTGAGAGAGAAAACTAGTGCGATAGAGCGAGAGAAGGCAAGAGAGAGAAAGCGAGAGAAACAGAGCGAAGGGCGAGGGAGACTCAAGGCGAGGGAGAGTCCAGGTAAGGGAGAGTCGAGAGAGAGTCGAGGAGTGAGAGAGTTGAGGTGAGGGAGAGTCGAGGCAAAGGAGATGAGGGAGAATCGAGGCAAGGGAGGCGAGAGAGAGTCGAGGTGAGGGAAAGTCGAGGCAAGAGCGAGTCGAGGTGAGGGAGATGAGGGAGACTCAAGGCGTGAGAGAGTCGAGGCAAAGGAGGGGAGGGAAAAACAAGACAAGGGAGAGTCCAGGCGAGGGAGAGTCCAGGCGAGGGTGAGACGAGGTGAGGGAGGCAAGAGAGAGGCGAGGTCAGGGAGATGCGAGGCCAGGGAGAGGCGAGGGAGAGTCAAGGTGAGGGAGAGTCGAGGCAAGAGAGAGTCGAGGCGAGAGAGAGTCGAGGCGAGAGAGAGTTGAGATGAGGGAGAGTCGTGGCGAAGGAGGTGAGGGAGAATTGAGGCAAGGGAGAGCCCAGTCGAGGGAGAGTTGATAGATAATCTATGCGAGAGAGAGTTGAGGCGAAGGAGAGTCGAAGCGAGGGCGAGGCGGGGGAGGCGATAGAGAGTCGAGGCCAGGGCGAGGCCAGGGAGAGGCGAGGCCAGGGAGATGAGAGAGAGTTGAGGCCAGGGTGAGGCGAGGAAAGGGGGAGACGTGTTGAGGGAGGCCTGAGAGACTCGAGGTGAGGGAGAGTCGAAGTGAGAAAGAGAGGCGAGGGTGAGATGAGGCGAGGGAAGTGAGAGAGACTCGAGGCGGAGGAGAGTTGAAGCAAGGGAGGCGAGAGAGAGCAGGACAAGGGAAAGGCGAGGCAAAGGAGAGTCGAGGCAAGGGAGACGTGAGGCGAGGGACATGAGAAAGAGTCGAGGAAAGGGGGAGTCATGGCAAGGGAGGCAAGGGGGAGTCGAGGTGAGGGAGAGTGGTGAGGAGGGAGGGGAGGGAGAGTCGAGGCGAGGGAGAGTCGAGGCGAGGGAGAGTCAACATGAGAGTGAGTCGAGGCGAAGGAGAGTCGAGGCGAGGGATTTGATGGAGAGGTGAGACGAGGAAGAATCGAGGTGAGAGTCAAGGCGAGTGCAAGGCAAGGCGAGGGAAGCAGGAGAGAGCCTAAGCGAAGGAGAGCTGAGGCGAGGGATGTTAGAGAGAGTCGAGGCCAGGGAGAGGTGAGACGAGGGAGGTGTGAGAGAGTCGAGGCAAGGGCAAGGCGAAGAGAGGGAGAGTTGAGAGAGAGTCAAAGCGAGAGACAGTCGAGGTGAAGGAGAGTTGAGGCGAGGGATGTTAGAGAGAGTCGAGGCCAGGGAGAGGTGAGACGAGGGAGGTGTGAGAGAGTCGAGGCAAGGGCAAGGCGAAGAGAGGGAGAGTTGAGAGAGTCAAAGTGAGAGACAGTTGAGGTGAAGGAGAGTCAAGGCGAGGAAGGTGAGAGAGAGTCAAGACGAGGGAGGCGAGGGAGACTCGAGGCAGGAGAGAGTTGAAGCAAGGAAAAGTCAAGGCAAAGGAGGTGAGGGAGAATCGAGGCAAGGGAGAGTCCAGGGGACGGAGAGTCAATAGAGAGTTGACATGAGACAGAGTCGAAGAGAGGGAGATTTGAGAGAGTCGAATTGAGAGAGAATCAAGGTGAAGGAGAGTCGAGGCGACGATGAGGTGAGGCGAGGGAGGCAAGAGAGAGTCGAGGCCAGGGAGAGTCGAGGAGAGGGAGAGATGAGGTGAGGGAGATGAGGGAGAGGGAGAGTTGAGGCGAAGGAGAGGTGATGTGAGGGAGACGAGAGATTGTTGAGGTGAGGGAAAGCCGAGGCGAGGGCGAGTCAATAGGAGGGAGGCGAGAGAGTGTTGAGGTGAGAGAGAGTCGAGGTGAGAGAGAGTCGAGGAGAGGGAGAGGCGAGAAAGAGTCGAGGCGAGAGAGTCGAGGAGAGGGAGAGTTGAGGAAAGGGCGAGCAGAGACGAGAGAGGAGAGGGAGGAGAGGGTCGAAGCGAGGGAGACGAGTGAGAGTGAGTCGAGGGAAAGGCGAGGCGAAGGAGATTCAAAGTGAGGGAGGCGAGAGTCGAGGCAAGGGAGCGTCGAGGTGAGGGAGAGTTGAGGTGAGAGAGAGCCAAGGCGAAGGAGAGGCGAGGCGAGGGAGAAACAAGGCGAGAGAGAGTGGAGACAAGGGAAAAGTGAGGCGAGGGAGGTGAGAGAAAGGCGAGGCGAGGGAAAGGTGAGGTGAGGGAGTCGCGAGTGACATGAGACGAGAGAGATTCAAAGCAAGGGAGGCGAGAGAGTGTCAAGGGGAGAAAGAGTTGAGGCGAGGGAGAGGTGAGGCAAGAGAGAGTTGAGGCGAAGGAGATGAGAGTGGAGGTGAGAGAGAGTCAAGACTAAAGGAGAGGCAAGGCGAGGGAGAGGTGAAGCGAGGGAGGCAGGAGAGAGGCAAGGAGAGAGTCGAGGCGAGGGAGGGGAGAAAGAGCCGAGGTGAGGGAGAGTCGAGGAAAGGGAAAAATGAGAGAGTTGAGGCGAGGGAGAGGCAGGACAAGGGAGGCAAGAGAGTGTTGAGGTGAGAGAGAGTCGAGGCGAGGGAGAGGCAAGATGAGGGAGAGTTGAGGCGAGGGAGATGAGAGAGAGTCGAGGCAAAGGGGAGGTGAGGCAAGGGAGGCGAGAGAGAGTGGAGGTGAGACAGAGCTGAGGTGAGGGAAAGCCGAGGCAAAGCAGGTGAGGGAGATTCAAGAGAAGGGAGAGTCCAGGCGAGGGAGAGACAATAGATTTGAAGGGAAAGAATGAAGGAGAGTTGAGGCAAGGGCGAGGCGAGGCAAGGGAGGTGAGAGAGGCTCGAGGCCAGAGAGAGGCAAGGGAGAGTCGAGGAGATGGAGACACAAGGTGAGGGAGGTGACAGAGAGGCGAGGTGACAGAGAGGCAAGGCGAGGGATAGGCAAGGCAAGGGAGGGGCAAGGTGAGGGAGGTGAGAGAGAGTTGAGACAAGGGAGATTTGAGGCAAGGGAGAGTTGAAATGAGAGAGTTGAGTCCAAGCAGAGTCGAGACAAGGGAGAGTTGAAACGAGAGAGAGTTGAGGTGGGGGACGTGATGAAGAGGGAAAGGCGAGGAGAGGGAAAGACGAGGAGAAGTAGGCAAAGAGACTCGAGGCGACAGAAAGTCGAGGTGAGGGCAAGTCGAGGCATGGGAGAGTCGAGGTGAAGAAGATGGGGGAGAATCGAGGCTAGGGAGAGTCCAGGTGAGGGAGTATCAACAGAGAGTCGAGGCGAAGGAGAGGCGAGGCAAGGGCGAGGCGAGGCAAGGGAGGGAGACAGACGAGGGGAAGGAGAGGCGAGGCAAGGGAGGTGAGAGTGGGTGGAGCTGAGAGAGAGTCGAGGCGAAGGAGAGTCGAAGCGGAAGTACAGTCGAGAATAGGGAGAGATGAGGCGAGGGAGACGAGAAATAGTCGAGGCGAGGGATAGACGAGGCAAGAGAGAGTCCTAGCAAGGGAGACAAGAGAGAGCCAAGGCAAGGGTGACTCGAGGCAGGGAAGAATGGAGGTAAGAGAGAGTCGAGGCAAGAGAGGTGAGAGAGAATCGAGGCAAGGAGGGAGAGCTGAGAGAGTCGAGGAGAGGGAGAGGCGAGGCAAGGGCGAGTCAAGATGAGGGAGACTCAAGGCGAGGGAGAGTCAAAGTAAGGGAGAAGAGTGTGGGTCGAGGGAAAGGCAAGGCAAAGGAGACTCAAAGTGAGGGAGGCGAAAGAGTCGAGGCGTAGAAGAGGCAAGGTGAGGGAGGCGAGACAGTCAAGGAGAGGGAGAGGTGAGGAGAGGGAGAGGTGAGGGAGAGGTGAGGCAAGGGAGAAGCAAGGTGAGAGAGAGTCAAGGCAAAGGAGAGTCACAGAATCACAGAATCACAGAATGGTTTAGGTTGGAAGGGACCTCTGGAGATCATCCAGTCCAACCTCCCTGCTCAAGCAGGGTCCTCTAGAGCATATTTCCCAGGATCACATCCAGACGGGTTTTGAATATCTCCAGGGAAGGAGACTCCACCACCTCTCTGGGCAACCTGTGCCAATGCTCTGTCACCCTCACAGTGAAGGAGTTTTTCCTCAGGTTTAGAGGAACCTGAGGTCTCCTCAGGGAGACAACATCCAGTGGTTCAGTTTCTGCCCATTGCCTCTTGTCCTGTTGCTGGGCACCACGGAGGAGAGTCTGGCCTCATCCCCTTGACATCCTCCCTTCAGATACTTATACACATTGATGAGATCGCCTCTCAGTCTTCTCTTCTCCAGGCTGAAGAGGCCCAGCTCTTGCAGTCTTTCTTCATAGGAGAGATGCTCCAGTCCCCTCATCATCTTTGTAGCCCTCTGCTGGACTCTCTCCAGGAG